GTTCTCAAGATCTGAGGAGTTCTGAGAAGTCTCCTAGAGACCATGGTTTTTTTGTTTTGTTTTTTTGTTTTTTGCCTTTTGTTTTTAAGTAGGCTCTATGGCCAACAAGAGGCTTGAACTCTCAACCCTGAGATAAAGAGTCACATGCTCTACCACTGAGCCAGACAAGCACCCTAGTCTATGTTTTAATTTTTTTTAATGTTTTATTTATTTCTGAAAGAGAGAGAGAGAGAGAGAGAGAGAGGGCAGGGGAGGGTCAGAGAGAGGGAGACACAGAATCTGAAGCAGGCTCCAGGCTCTGAGCTAGCTGTCAGCACAGAGCCCAACGCACGGCTCGAACCCATGAACTGTGAGATCATGACCTGAGCCGAAGTCTGGACGCTTAACCCACTAGACCACCCAGGCATCCCAGTCTGTGTTTTAAAGACAAAAAGCTTGGCCTTTCTTTTCTTCTTTTTTATTTTTATTTTTTTACGGTTTATTTATTTTCAGAGAGAGAGACAGCATGAATGGGGGAGGGACTGAGAGAGGGACAGAATCTGAAGCAGCCTCCAGGCTCTGAGCTGTCAGCACAGAGCCCGACCTGGGGCCTGAATTCATGAACTGCTAGATCATGACTGGAGCCCAAGTCGGCTGCTTAACCGACTGAGCCACTGAGGCGCCTCGCTTTTCTTCCTTTTTGAAATGACATCTATCTATCTATCTATCTATCTATCATCTATTTATTATTAAAATAAATGTTTATTTATTTTTGAGAGAGAGACAGAGAGACAGAGAGCAAGGAAGGGAGGGGCAGGAAGAGAGGGAAACACAGGATCTGAAGCAGGCTCCAGGCTCTGAGCTGTCAGCACAGAGCCTGATTCAGGGCTTGAACCACGAATGAGATCACGACTTGTGCTGAGGTCGGACGCTTAATTGACTGAGCCACCCAGGTGAAATGACTTTTAAACGTGTGTTCCCCTTCACATAAACAATTTTAGATGCTTTGTATGGTGAAAGAAGAATAGACAATGATGACTGGAGATCACATTAGGTCCATGATTCAGTCTTATGGCAGGTTTAGGACTCCATTGAACGCTACTAGTTGCCATAGTGATTTGGCCAATACAGTTTTATATCTCTTATTTTTAGTCATATGTTATTTAAAAATAAGAGATAGTGGAATATTAAAGAAAGCATATAGAATGATGTTAATATACTGCAACAATTTAGTACCTCAATAAACATGTCTTTGACTATATGGAGTATATTGAGACGAAAAGTACAAATTAAACTTTGCAATTGAATGGGGGTGCCTGGGTGGTTCAGTTGGTTAAGTATCTGACTTCAGCTCAGGTCATGATCTCATAGATCTATGGGTTCAAGGCCCGTGTTGGACTTTGTGTTGACGGCTTGGAGCCTGGAACCTGCTTTGGATTCTCTCTCTCTCTCTCTCTCTCTCTCTGTCCCTCCCCCACTTGCACCCTCTCTCTCAAAAATAAATAAACATAGTGGCGCCTGGGTAGCTCAGTTGGTTAAGTGTCCAACTTCCTGACTTGGGCTCAGGTTATGATCTCACAGCTTGTGGGTTTAAGCCGTGTCTGGCTCTGTGCTGATAGCTCAGAGCACGTAGTCTCCTTCTGATTCTGTGTCTCCCTCTCTCTTTCTCTCTGCCCTTTTCCCACTCATGATCTCTCTCTCAAAAATAAACACAGGGGCGCCTGGGTGGCTTAGTCGGTTAAGCGTCTGACTTTCGCTTAGGTCATGATCTCGCGTTTCGTGGGTTCGAGCCCTGCGTCGGGCTCTGTGCTGACTGCCAGCTCAGAGCCTGGAGCCTGTTTCAGTCTGTGACTCCCTCTCTCTCTGACCCTCCCCTGCTCACGCCGTGTGTGTGTCTCTCTCTCTCCTAGAAATAAATAAAAATATTAAAAAAAAAATAAACAGAAAAAAATTTTTAAAAATAAACATTAAAAAATTTTTAACTTTGCAATTGAATGAAACAAGTATTGCTAATCGAGACGTTTTTACATATGATCCACAATGCCTTTTCTGCAACTCTAAATTCCAAAGGTTTTGTAATGAAGTTTCTTCCTCTATTATGTATCTGCGAAATTTACCAGACATAACAAGACTATTTGCACATTTTCCCTAATCTAGTGTGACTTTTCAAGTATTCTGCTCCAGATATATATCTATGGTCAGATGTTGCACCACACTTACTCAAGATGTTACATACTATGTGGTATATGTACCGTACTATCCTGCTAAGATGCAAATACTTGTGAATTACAAAATAGTTCTGGCCCTGAAGGTTTTGAAGAGGGATTGGGGCCCTGTATGAACACAGGATGTATAACATTTTTTATATTTTTCTTGCATAATAGTTAACATTGTTCAGAAATGCTTTAACATGACCAAGTCACACTAAACTAAGTAGCATGCTTAATTTGTTAAATGGAAAAAAATACAGAATTTATCATTACAATTTCTATTTATTTTATTTTTTAATGTGTATTTATTGTTGAGAGAGAGCACGAGCAGGGGAGGGCCCAAGAGAGAGGGACAGAGGATCTGAAGTGGGTTCTGTACTGGGACCGGCAAGCTCCATGTGAGGTTTGATGCGGGGCTCACCACCAGAGCTGAAGTCAGACACTCAACTGACTGAACCACTCAGCTGCCCCGTTAAAAGGTGTATTTAAAGTGGCTTTCATGAATCAGTCTCCAATAATATACTTATTGAAAATTACCTTTTAACCAAAAATCAGGTTTTTATCCCGTACCATATAAACAAAAATAAATAATTGAAAGAACTTCTCTTCAAGAGGACTTGCTTCCTTAAGATGTTAAAGTCCTTCATCAAACTGGATGATGAACCAAGTATCCCCAGTCACATCCAAAACAAAGCAAAAAATGTGACTAATTAATGTGGCTCTGTTACACTACCTAGGGCTATAACATCAATTTTTTTAAAGTCAAAATATGGAAAAAGAAGAAGTCAAATTACTTATAAAATGGAGATTGTATTTTATCTACAAAGCCATGAAAAATCTAAGGAAATACTCTTAGTATAAAAGACATTTGCTCAGTCTCTGAGTAAATACTAATCAAAATCAAGACTGTCTTATTGCAACAAATGCGATGAACAATGTGCAGCCAGCAGGAAGATGCTCTCCACAGACCATAAAAAGTAACTCCTGGGCATGTGAGTGGCTCAGTCCACTGAGCATCCAATTCCTGATTTCAGCTCAGGTCATGATCACAGGATTGTGGAATCCAGCTCCGTGTTGGGCTCTGCACCAGAGCGCGGAGCCTGCTTAAGATTCTTGCTCTTGCTAAATAAAAAAATAAATAAATAACAACTCCTAGAACAAGTTTGGCAGGCAGTGGACAGGATGACACAAAGGGAGGCACGGGGCTGCTAAAACCCACTGGGAAGCTCCAAGAGGAGAGTCCATCAGGTCCTGGGCCCAAGAATATTAGGAGAGCCCCGAGAACAGCAGAGCCTGGACCCTGAAGAAGTCAAGACAACAGTAGGCCCTGGGACCTGAAGAAGATGAGAAAACACCAGATACCGGACTCTGATAAAGAAAAGAGGCTACTTAGTCCTTGTCTCCCAAGGAAGATGAGCACACACTGGGCTCAAATAGGAGCACACACCAGATCATGGACCGCGACAGACTTCTTCCATTTCCTAGATAGGGGCACCCTGACTCACAGAAGAGGGCACTGCACAGACGATCCTACCCATCCCACTCCTCCTTCCCTGACAGATTCCTTCCTTACCCAAACTTCAGATTCTCCTGAACCAGGCCCCATCCATGTACCTCTTTGCACAATCTAGTTTTAGCAAGAAACCGAAGTCAGTTTAATAAGAATTCTCTGCCCTTGAAAACTGATCAAACTTCATTCGACTACTGCCCCCAGGTGTTATCAGATCACCTAAGCCTGCCTTCAGCAAGAATCTTAGTCTGGTACAGCCAGAAGCCCCCAGACTGTGTAATTCATCAGCTAACACCCCCCCAACTCAAACTTGTTTCTTAGTTATAAGTCCCCACTTGATCTGCTCGTATTCAGAATTGAACCTAGGTCTATACCGGAGTGTGTCTTCCCCTCTAGCAACACTATGGTGAACTAATATCCACGTTTTAGCTTATGTCTAGCTCTGGTTTCCTTCGACAACCCACCCCCACAGCCGTTCCTAGGGTACAATTAACCCTGCCCTTCTACCCACGACTTGAGAGGACATTTCAGTCTGATCCTTCTCCGCTCCCTACAACTGGAGGACAGAGCAACGCCTCCTGCACCTCTGCGGCTGGCCGGCCCTCCTTTCCCCACAGGTCCCAGGATGTCTACACACTTCCGGCCCTCCCCCTCCTTCCTCCGCTTAGGCAAAGATCCGCATTTAGCACCGCCCCTACTCACTTCCATCCTTTCTGCCACAGCCTCTACCCGGAATTTGAGTGGACTTTAGCTCCTGCTCCCCGCGCGCCCCTCCCCCTCTCGCAGAGCATGGCTGGACGTTAGCTCCGCCCGCTATATCCTTCCCTCCTGCCCTGTTCCTGCCCCTCCTCTCTTCACGTTAGGTAGGAGTAGCAATTAGCCCCAACCCTCTGCGCCTCAGGCCTTGCGAGCTGTCACTCCTCCGCCCAGGGATGCAGCAATCCTTCCCGCCATTCCAACACCCAACTTTAATCTACTTCCGGCCCACCCCCTCCGCTCTCCTTCCCTTCCCCAACTTCCGGCCCGCCCCACGAGTGCTCGCCCCCGTGGCGGAGCACGATTCTGTCCTGGCCTGCGCCGCTGCTTGGGAAAGTGTTGACGCCCCGCGACCTGGCATATCCGACTCGAGCCCTCCCCCACCTGGACCATTAAAGGTCGCTGGCGAAGACCCTCTTCCGGCCCGCGCGGGCTTCGCCAGCCATCGAGATGGCAGCCAAGATGGCCGCCTCCTGGAAGAGGTCGGGCGGGCACGCCGCAGGGGTGGCTGGGAGTTGTAGTACGGCCCTGCGCGCTGACGCATTTCTCTGTGGGCCGACGGTCGCCATTGTGCGCCGCGCGCTGGGTGAGTGTGGCGCGAAATCTGCTCTCGTCGGGGGCTGTGCAGAGACGTCCCGAGAACACTTTTCGGAGTGTATGGACTCAACCCCTTCCCCGCCAAGCTCTGGAGCCCAAGGACGGTCTTGCCTGCCGTCTTCAGGCAGCGGGCCAGGAAGGGGCGGTGTGGTCGGGGACCCGGGGCCCAAAGGGCAGACAGCTCCCTTCGGGCGGTGGCTTAAGGTGGGCTGACCCGTTCCGTGCGCGTGCGGACTAGGGAAGGGAGTAACTCCCTCTGGATAAGAAAGATATGAGGACGGTCACCTCTCGACTAGGAGGAAACCGATTCTCCAGGCGTCGGGGAATAGGTGGAGACGACCCCTCCAGCTCGTTTTTGTAGATGGCGGGTAGACCTGTCATTTCACGTTGGTGGGTCCGCTTCTGGGCGAAGTGGGGGAGGAGAAGGGCCCCTCCGCATAGACCTCACACCCCTCCCACTTCCCAAATTCGACCTTCTCAGGACTGTCTACTCCCACGAGATACGTCGAGGAGGAGGAAGGTATGGCCTCCGGGCTTCCGACGGCCTGGTTTCCTGTGAGTAGAGGCTACTGAGTTTCTGAGTCTACCCCGGAATCTGGGGGTGGGGGTGGCCGGATGGTAGTGAGTTGCCACCTTCCCTCGAGATGCCTTTAGGCTCCGGACCATCTTGGGGAGGATTGAGAGACTGCCTGGGCATTAGAGACTTTGCTGAACCGTAGCAAAACCTCCTACGGAGGAACCGTAGGTTGCCTAGCTTTCCAAGGTAATGGTTAGAGTACAGGTCAGGTTCTGCGGAATTCTAATTTATCCTCTGTATTGGGGATAGGTATTGACAGGTTTAAGTAGGGATTAGGCTCATATTTACATTTCAATAGCCACTTTGGCATCAAAGCTAGAGGGAATGAGAGCTCAATCACTAGGAGAAAACGAGAGGATAGATGGATAGATCCTTGACCTGTGAAGGAAGTAGAAGCAGCCTACGTGGTGGGTGGGGGCTGAAGGCTTGGGTGTGACGATTCAGCTGACAGAATTCTGGAATAGGACACATAGACGCTAATACCAATATTGGAATCTCCAAGGTAATAAGAAATGGAGAAATCTTCAGAGAAAGAAGAACCCTCTCTGGCCTCACATGTCTGCCCTGCTGTGACCTGAATAGGGTCAAGCTTGGGTTTGCTCAGTTTCAAACACAGAAACACATGAGAGTCTGGAATGCTCTCAGGTCATCTTGTAGACTGCCCTCATGTGCTGGGTCAGCCTTCCCCCTCCTGTCAGCGTGGGTGATGACAGACCCTGGCTGAACAGACACCTGTGGGTTTTAGGAACCAGTGACCTTTGAAGATGTGACCCTGGGTTTTACTTCAGACGAATGGGGACTGCTGGACCTCGAAAAGAAGTCCCTGTACAGGGAGGTGATGCTGGAGAACTACAGGAACCTGGTCTCAGTGGGTAAGGATGGCCTCCATATCAATAAAGATCTGCGCTTTGCAGCACGAATGTGGTGCCTCTGAAGTGTGTGTCTGCTTTGGCTCAGGCTGCAGGGATCAGAATGCAATTGTCAAGGTCCTGGAGTCTGAGAGAGAGGGCTTTCCTTTGTACCTGTAGGGAAAGGGCAACTTCACCAACAGGACTTCTGAAGCCGCCTAGTCCGTCCCTGAGGCCTTGAGTTGCCAGGGAGGTAGGTCTTTCAGGAATGTTTCCAGCTACAGTAGTGGATGCTCATTTTTGTAACAAGAATTCCAGAGGATGTGGGTCAGTGTCCCAACAGTTCAGACATATCACTGAAGACTGATCTCTTCCATTTCCCTGTGCTTGGCGTGAACTTTTCCACACTAATGTTAGTGGCTGCATGGTTGTGGGACCCAGCATCATATCCATGTTCGAGGCAGAAAGAAGGGGAAAGGGCAGTCCTGGCTAGTTTTCTCACACCTGCCATATTTAGCTTTTTTTTTTAAAAAAAAAAAAGGCCCTAAGATCCCCAGCTGATGGATTTCCCCTTGTGTCCTGCTGGCCAGAACTGGGTCCCACTGCCATTTTTATTGGCAAGGCAGTCCAGGAAGGCAAGTAGCTGACAAAGGGGATGGGCTGCATTATCGTCACTGCTGTAGACTAGAAGTCATGCCCTTGCAGGGAAGAATTCAGGGACAGCTATGTGCCTCAGGAGGAATGCATTTTCTCCCGAACACAGACCCCCAAGCCCTGTCTCTTTTCCCTTGGGCAGAACATCAGCTTTCCAAGCCAGATGTGGTATCTCAGTTAGAGGAGGAGGAAGCGCTCTGGTCGGTGGAGAGAGGAATTCCTCAAGACACCCTTTCAGGTGAGATCCAGGCCCATGGGAGTGCTGGCAGGGTATGGGCTGGTTAGTCAGGGACTGGTGTCTTAGAAAACACGGTGCCGGGAAACCCCCAGATGGGGCGCTGTGATGAGTAGCTCAGACACGCTGAATCAAACTGTTCTCCTCTGGTCCAAGTCATACTGTTTGGCTGAATGAGAACTTGCTACCAGTGGCCAGTTGACTCTTAAGGCCTCCCTTTCCTCTACTACCCTTCCATCATGTGATCACCAGTAACTGGCCAGACTTTATTTTTTTTTTTATAGATGCTTTCATGTATGTATATGAATATATATAGTTTATGACTCAGGGGTGTTCTAATGGATACAAACAGGACTGTTGTATCCATTTTAACAGATGCTATGTAATCCACATTTGACGTTTCCTCTTGATAGTCCTTCAAGTTGTTGCAGAAAACATTGTTGCATTCTTTTTTTTTTTGTATATTCAAGTTGGATTTTGTTTTGTTTTTTGCAGGTAGGATTTCTTGAAATAGAACTTTAGAATCAAGATAGAAGCTAAAAATCTGGTAGCAACAGATTGCTCTTTAAAAAATACACATAGTTCCTCCGTTACATGAAAGTTCCTTTTTCTCTTCATTGCCATTGATTTTTAAGGATATTTTTCAAGGTTGGCAGATCTGATAGTATGTTCAGTTCATATACTTTCCATGTTTTTCTTTTTCTTTCTTGGAACTCTATTAATTATGGGTATGGATATTACAGATATCCCAAACCAACATTTATCTTCTACCTTTATATTTAGTTTACATAAAGAAGTTATATGATTTAGGTATTTTTCCTTTCAAATCTGTTTTTATTCCTATCGTAGTCATAGAAAGATTTTAAAATAATTTCTTCTACTTCAAGTTTTTGTTTTTGTCTGATTGTTGCACTTAACGAGTTTCTTTGTGTATATGGTATGGAGTATAAGTTCTTTCAACACATTTTCTGACTAGATTCTTCTACTTATTGAAAACACTGTCTTTATTACAGATTAAATTCCCACAGACCTCATTGGGCATAGGCCTTGATCCCTTCTGCTTCATTGATCTTAGTCTGAGTACACAAAATGCTGTATGTATGGTAGTTTTATAAAACTTGGATAAATGATAGTTCCTCTCATTATTTCTGAAAAAAACTGAACTGTTCTCAACCACCTGATTTATGAAATGAATGCTTACCATCAGTTTGTCAGGGGTTAAGAAAATCCTGTTAGAATGATTGGATTTAGAATTTCTTGACACAGAATTAGTCTGTCTAGTCGAGTTTTGGCACAAGTGTATAAAGGGGGATCTCGTTTCACTGTGCTATGTCAGGCCTTCTGAGTGCTGTTGGGCTTTCACTGTAGTTGCTGTTAATCTACTCAGGTTAATCTTCTTTTCCAGTCTTGTGTAGTTGGTCCAGATGAACCTGTCATGATGCTAAATTCTCTTATTAGCTGTAACAGTCTTAATAGAGTCTCATTAATTTTCTCAGTACAGTCATTTTACCAGCACGTATAAGGGAGAAAGCAATCATATTAGTTTTGTTTTTTGTTTTTGTTTTTTTTTACTGTTGCCCAATTACATAATGACCATCACAGCTGGTACTTCCAAAACACTGAAGCTGAGAGTGTGAAGAGTGAGTGACCTCAATGGGAAAGTTTCTGGATTTTGACAGGCATGATGCTGGGCTGTGCTTTGATTCAAGTCCATTTTACCTGGATAAAGAAATAGTCATCTAGCCCTTTCTAATAAATGAAAATCAGTAATAGCCCGTTTTGCTTCATAGCCATCCAAAGTGATCATAGGGATTTTTCTCCTTTGAACAGTTAACACAGTGACATAATAAACGTAGAAATGCCCTCGTAACATGCTGCTGGCATCCACTGACAGGTCAATATTCATAAATTAGGTTTGGGAGGTGGGTGGATTTCCTTTTTATGTTTATTATCTTTCTCAGTTTTGCAAAGAAAACTTTGGATGCTTTACCTTCCCTTTGTTTTCTATGTTCTAATGCAAATAACATTGGAACTACCTGTTTCTGGTAGTATTCAGCTATGAAATCTGCACCTGGTCCCCATCTTTAGTGATTTTCTTCTGTTTGCCATAACATAGACTGCCATCTCTGAATCTCTGCAGTCTTTTTCTAGATTCTGTTTAGTGGCTAAGCATTAGTAGTTTTTCTTTTCCATACTGAGTCATTCCTTTCATCCTCCACATTGAAAACTTCTCTTCCATCCATTAGCACAGGTCACTAAACTATACATCACCTGGAAGGTCCCCAGCAACACAAGCACTTTGTATCCACCCACTGTGGTGTCTTTTCCCCCTGGTTGTTCCCCATAATCCAGCCTCCCAAAGTCCCTTCCTGTCTTGTGGCTCTGGTTGTGGCAGGTCTGTGTCTCATCCTCCCTGAAGCTCAAGTCCCGTGTCCTGTAATGGCGAACCTTCCAGCCTTGCACTTCTAGATGATCCAGTAATTCCCTGAATCAAGTTGCCATGATGAATTTTGGGCACCTGTGGTGGTGTACATCTTGGGGAGAGCTGGCTTGACAGGTGCCAGGAGATTCTGAGTTGATAACCCAGAGTGAGAGACCATGTGCAGAAAGGCTTATAAGGACATTTTGTTACAGACTAGGCCTAAGGTGCCTGACTCATCTCTCTTCTGTCATGAAGAGTCCTTTACATATCATTTTTCCTCCACTGCCTCCCCTTCTTACATCTCACAAATACTTGTGGAAGTTCTTGTGTCCCATATAGTACACTAAACACTCTGGTAGTAAACTAAAGACCTAACATAATCCCTGACACTGTGGGCTTCGTAATCTAATAGATTATGGCCTCTACAAACAAGTTCCCTAGATGTAACTGTGTAAAGAGAAGTAGTGTTAACTACTGAGAAGGAAAAGAATGTGGTGTAAAGTGGGGGGAAATGAGGAATTACTCTGGAGGAGGTGGTTTGAGGAGCACTGCAGGGGTGAGATTTAAGCCAATTCCCAAAGTAAAAGAATTCTACAGACCTGAGAGTGGTGGTGAAGAGAGCTTCCAAGCACAGAAACAGCATTTGGGGTGACCATGAAAATGAACAAGCTTGGCACATTCAGGGAACACAGAGTTACCGAATGGGCTGGTAGGAGGTAACTGAGGTATACTGACACACAAGTTAGGTTTGGCAGAACACACAGGGCCTCCACTGTGACGGGAGTTTGGTTTTTATCAGGCAGGTGTGTGGTACAGCTTTTCAAGCTCACTCCAGGTGCTTAGGAAGAAAGAACTTGGTAGAGCACGGGTGTAAGTAGGGCAGGGAACTGTGGTAGTACTGTCTAGGGAAGTGAGGTTGCCTGGCCAGAGAGTAGCAGAGGGTCTGGGGAGAAGCTGGCATGGGCTTCTCACCATTTATAATGGATTCTCTGGAGGCAGGTGAGTAACAGCCAAAGGAAAGGAAGCTGCCAAGAACCTCTTGCAGGTGAAGGCCTCAGGGATTTCCTGTGGCTATTCTTTGTAATGTATGCATTTACCACATACATTCTTTTTGTATATATCAACATCCAACTTTAAAAGAAGAAAAAAGGAGAAAAATTACTACTCCTGAATTTTTGGTGTTAGTCAATAACAAGGGGAAATCTGGTAAAGGCAAAAACTTTTGAAGGGTAGAATTAGAGGTTTTGTTTTGACTTTTCAAATGTTTATTTCTGAGAGGGAGAGGGCACACATGTGCATAAGCGGGGGGGTGGGGTGGGGGGTGGTGGAGAGGATCCAAAGCAGGCTCTGTGCTGACAGCAGAGAGCCCCATATGGGGCTTGAACTCACAAACCGGGAGATCATGACCTGAGCCAAAGTTGGATCCTTAACCAACTGAGCCACCTTTTAAACAGTTTACATGGAACTCCCTAACAGCTTTCACCTAGATTCAAGAGTTTGTGGAACTGTCACATGTCTTGACTGGTTCTGTTAATGAAGTATGAATGAGAAGGGACTGAAAGACATCTAAATAGAGGTTTGGGAAGCCAGCTGAACGCACCTCTCAGGACTAGAGAAGGAGGTCCCAGCAGTGTATAAAGACTTGGGAATCCTAGGTGTTTGGAATGGCGTGTTCTATTTACTGTTGGATGAGACCGCTAACTCCAGCAGTGGTCTGTCTCCCATCACTGGTGTAGCTGTGCCTCTCCCTAACTCAGGGGAATGGGTTAAAGTGGAAAGCTCGGCCTTTCTGAGGCAGCTCATTTCATATGGCTCTCCAGCTCCACTGATAGCAAAAATTGCAGCACAGACATTGGTTGAAGTAGAAGGGAAACTGAGTAATAAGTGCCTAAGATAGAGGACATTCATTTTTAAGAAGGTACTGATTTGGGAAGATACTGTGATGGTTTGGTTAGAAAACTTGAGATATAATCTAGATTTAATCAGTCAAAAAGCAATAGAGTGAAGACACTACATTGAAGATCATGATTATAGGAAAGCCTGTAGGACATTTAACTTGTTTGATGTGTCAAGTAATGAAGCAGGAGAGATGAGCCATACAAATAAACTTCTACAAGGAGATTGTTTTTTGGGAGGAAGAAAAGAAAATCCTTTTCTAGATTTCATTCATCCTTTGTGTAGTCTGAGAGGACTCACATGGGTTATAAAGCAGACATAGGGGATGTAGAAAACCAGTTGTTTTATACAAAGGATAACTGATTCAAGAATAAGGCTGAAAAAATGTGTTTCATGTGAGAAGGCCTGTTTTCAGCTCTGCCTTTAACTAAGAAGGCTCACATGGGAGGAGACTAACATGCAAAGATCTTGAATAGAGGAACTCATTTTCATGAATTTTTTTGACATGAGAACTCAAACAGGGAAGAAACCCCAGTAATTTGATCATAGCAGAAAAGGCTTCTGGCCTGATTCACTATGACTCGAGAAAACTCCTACTCGACCAAAAAAAGAAACGCAGTCGTATTGAATTTGGAAAAGTTTTTAGACCAAATCATTACATCTAAGAACTCCAAAGCCAAGGGAATGTGACTGCTGTGAAAAGGTTTCTTTCATGCACAGCTCTCATACTCAGCATCACTGAAATCATATTGGAAAGCACCTGAGAATGTAATCACGTCTTAGGAAGGCTTCAGGAGTCATAGAACCCACTGGCAAGAAGCCCTTCAGTAGGAGTCCTCATTGTATTCAACATCAGAGGACTCCTATGAGAGCAGATCCTCAATGTAATCTGTACAGGCAAATCATTAGCCTTAGTTCACACCTTATTTGACAGAACAACAAAACAGAAAACTTACACTGGAGAGAACCACACTGAATAATAAAAATGAAATGTCTCATCCTGTTTTTATACCAGATAAGTCATACAACAGGCAAATTCTAAATAAAACTTTGATCACATAAGTATATAAATATAGTAAAACAGGTCTTTTTCAACTTTCACTGAACACCTAGAACAAATATAAAACGTAAGAGCAGGCTTCTTTATTTCAGTTTCCCATGTATGTCCCCAGTTGCTAAGACAATGACTCCATCTCTAGCTCAGGAAACTCTTGAGTGAATAAATGGTTGAAGAAACTATAAAAAAAAAAAAGAATGTCTTCAAAGAACAGACTATGAAGACAAGGCCAGGCTTTGAAACAAGAGGGTGGGTAAGAGATGATAAGGGGCAATCTTGAAATATATAGTACTATATATTAAGAACTCAGAAAGGCTCACATCCTGGGGAGTGGGTCAAGAGTTTAGAATCTTGAGTGACTATAAAAACATCTTTTGGCAGGAATCCAGCCTAGCAGAGTGTAATAACATACTGTGCAACCTTCATTCAAGAATACCTTCTATGTGACCCTCCACATATTTGCTCATTAGGACCCATGTAATCTTGCTCCTTTTATCTGGAAACCACTCTGCCTGGTGTCCAAATCTAATATCTGGGGTAATTTCAAGACCTGAAAATGCCTTAGCTATTAGTAGAATAAGAAGGAAAACAAATGAACTACACATTTAACTCAAAGTCCTAAGGAAAGAGAAAAGATAAATACAAGACAAATAAATGAATCAAATGGAGAAGGAAAAAAGAACACAAGAACTAATTTTCTGCAAAGATAGGAATTCAAAACCAGCTTTGATTAAACAGAGAATAAATAAAAGGCAAGCCAAAAACCTATACAGGGAAAAAAACACTACACACATACTCAGCAACACATGTAGCCCTCCTTGTAGAACTTTGTACAACTGTAACAATGCATGAGCCAGCTTTATGTGCTGCTATGAAAGTCTCCAAGATAAGTGTTTCTTAAATATGTATCTTTGGAATGTATAAAGATATGCAAATGCACATATCATTTTTAAAAAAAAAGAGCACAAATATATGTCAGCTGGTAATCACAGAATGTAGAAAGTGACAGCCTCCTGAGAAAGAAGTAGGGCAGGAGGGTAACTTTCCATTTGTAGAAGTGTTGCCCGTAACTATGCTGATAAAACGTAAACAGGTACCTCCTTCCTGCTGTGTTACCAGTTCCTGACAGAGCCTGGGTGCCCACTGATTATTTGCTGAGTGTAGGAATGAACAAACAACAAAATGGAAAGATTTCTGAGAAAGTGGAAGGTTGTCAAAATTGGTCCCAGCAAAAATGTTAAAATTAACTTTTTAAGAACAAAGTGGCCAGCTACTTATTATTACTGACCTGGACAGTGAATATCTTCCAACTTCCTATTAAAAGACCATTTCTATGGAACACGAACAGTTCAATGACAGGACAAAGGCTGGAATGTTGACAGATTCTGCAAAGTATACATAGCATTGTTGTCACTAAAGCACAAAATGAGAAAAATATTAAAAAGGAAGTATTTATAACTCATAACAACCACCTTAAACTAATCCTCAGAAATAGTTAAATAGAGTTCATCAATGTGACAGATAACAAAGACTAATAGCCTTGGCTTATATGGGTAATACCCAGTTTAACACAAAGATATTAATAGGTTTTTGAAATAGAACCTAAGAATAAATTAAATGGTTAGGAATTGTTTTTTGTTTTTTTGTTCTGAGTTTATTTTGAGAGTGAACTTGTGAGCAGGGGAGGGGCAGAGAGAGAGGGAGAAAGAATCCCAAGCAGGCTCCACACTTGAACCCACGAACTTGAGCCAAACTCAAGAGTTGGATGCTTACCTGACTGAGCCACCCTGGCACCCCAAAATGATTAGGAATTGTTAAGGAATAAATTATTAAGGAATTTCTATTTGAAAAAAAAAAGTTAGTGGGATGTAAAATAAGTAAAAGCAATAACTTCTTTTGAGGGCTTAGAAGATCTAGAAGTTAATGAATTCCCTTTTTAAAAAAATTTTTTTAATGTTTATTTATATTTGAGAGAAACAGAGACATAGCGTGAGTGGGCAAGGGGCAGAGAGAGAGTGAGACACAGAATCTGCAACAGGCTTCAGTCTCTGAGCTGTCAGCACTGAACTCAACGCGGGGCTTAAACTCACAGACCGGGAGATTGTGACCTGAGCCGAAGTCAGACGCTTAACCAACTGAGCCACCCAAGCGCCCCACGAGTTTCCTTTCTTGACTGAAGTCCTACACCAGTATTCCAGCCAGCAGCCACTAGAGAAGTGTTGTTGGAGCCATGACACCAGTGGAAGCAGAAATTCAAGCCTCTGACCTAGTTGGTCTGGGAACGACCAGGCGCCCTCCTACCCTGGGGCCTGTACTCCCAGCTACTGCTCAGGCGCTCAGGTATAAGGAACTTCTTGGCAAGAGCAGTCCTCCCATGATAATTTAAAAGTGGGACACAAATTCCAGTGGAATCTCCTGTAATTGACAGAAATACAGGAAAATCAAGACAGCTAAAAAACTCAAGTCACTTTTTGTTGAATAAATATTTCTTGAGCACCTGCAAAAATACCACAGACTGTTACAGGGGTGGGTCACAGTACTGAACACGATGGTAAGGCCCCTATTTTATGAACGGGCCTACATTCATTTCAGAGCAGCCACCAACACGTGGCTGATTAAGCTTAAACAGACTAAGATGAATTTAACCAGTTCAGTTCCTTAGTCACACTGGCCATCTTTTAGATGGTCACTGGTCAGCTGCAGCTACTGGCTACTGTGTTGGATAGGGTAGTTCTAGAACATTTCCTTAAAGAGAGCTACCATAGAAAAGGTACAGGGGTGATAATTAATGAAACAGATGGCAGTCAATGCTGTGAAGAAAAATGAAACAATGGAATATGCTAGCAGGAAGAGGCATGGGTGGGATGCACTAGTTGAGAAATGGGCAGGAAGACAGTTCTGAGGAGGTGACACTTGACCTAAGAGCTGGATGGGGAAGGTATCAGCTGAAGGCGTTCAGGAAGACTAGCAGGCGGGGGTATGGCAAGTGCAAAGACTTCTAGACAAGGTACACTCTGGCATGTCTGAGGAAAACGAAGATAGTGGCTCTGGGAAGCACCCTTTGGTGGAAAGCGTGTAATAGAATAGGGCTTGGATCCCAGCTGCTGTGTTCCCCAGTGTGGCCTTGGACAGAACTCCTAGGCTCTCCCAGGATGGACTTCCTTTGTATAAAGGATAGATGCTATTGCTTACTGGGACTATGGTGTGTAAAGCCCCGGTCTTGGGAGGTCTTCATGTAACTAACCACTGTTATTCGAAGACTTTAATGTTACGATGATCATCAGCACCTTTACGAGATCCTCCTCTGGGCCTGACTTTAGGGTTTCTGATGTACAAGAACCAGTTGACATCCTCAGCAGTCCAGTGGGGTAAACAAACTTCAAAGGCAATGCCATGAGGTGCCCAGCAGAACTGACAAGTGATGAGGAGAGGAGGAGAAAGGGCATAGAGCTCGAGGCATTCTGGACAAGGAAAAAAAGGAACTGAGTGTACACAGGGATGAGGGGAGCTGAGGTAAGCACTCCTTCTGACCCTGCTCCCCAACAAGATCTTGAAAAGTCCTTGTTATTAGTTACTATTCTATTTGTGGACTGGTAGCCCTAGTATACCTGGTAGTCACTGTTCACTGTGGAACGAAGCACTGACAGAGATGGCTTACCCTGGAAAGGAAGCAGCAGAAAGAGAAGGAAGTTGTAAGAGGAGGAAGCAAACATCCTCCCGCAGCCTTTCCTACATGCTATTCCTGGCTTTATATAACCTAATCACTTAAAAAAAGGAAACTAAGGCCCAGGAGGATTAAGCCCCTTTCCCAGAGGCTGGGTGAGTTTGTAGAACAACCCACCAAACAGATAGTCGCAAGTAAGGGAACTAAATTGCTAAAACTCCACACATACACACACCCCCTATCATTCAGTTGGATTGAAAACCAGTACTTGGGGGGCACTGGGGGGTGCTCAGTTGGTTAAGTGTCCCACTCGATTTCAGCTCGGGTCATAATCTCATGGTTCTGTGAGTTCCAGCCCCACATCGGGGGATCAGAGCCTGCTTGGATTCTTTCTCTCCCTCTCTGCCCTCTGCCTGCTCCTGCTTGCTCTTTCTCTCTCAGAATAAACAAAGATTTTAAAAAGAAAGGAAAATCAGTTCTTGGAGCTGCACTTGATAAGAGATTATTTTGTGCAGCCCCACAGAGACGAGTGGGTCAGTCAGCCCCAGCCATGCCCCAGTGAGTTGAAGATCCAGTTTCAACTCTGCCAGCTGGTAAACTTAAGAGCTTACATTTTCTCTGTGAAGTAGGGTGAAAGCTTTCCTGACAGCACAGGAAGGGCTTGGGGGATGGTCCAGAGGACCAGAAGACTGCAGTGCCCAGAATGACACTTACCCACCAGCTTGCAGGCTTTGGCCCATCTCATCGACTGCGTAGCACCCAGTAGGAGCTTTGTGATAACCCTGTGGAATATGTGCTGTCTTGAATGGCTGCTACTGCAGGGAGAGCCAGGCTGCGGATCCTCCACTGAGCTCCCAGCACAAGGATGGGCAGAGTTCCCCACATCCAAAACTAGACAGGCTCTAAAATTTAAAACGGTTAAGAGTTAACATTTTTTAATGAGCATTCAATTCAAGCTTTTGAGAAATTGCCCTGGTGTCCTCCAAAGATAAGAGAAGGAACAAAACACACAATCAAGACTAAAGAAGAAAGAAGTAAATTAGAAATGGAGAGGGGACAGGCGTAGAACAAAAATAACCTACAGTTAATTTCTTTTTAAGGGATAAAGTACAAAGTAATCCCCGTGATTAACCAAGGAGTAAAAAATGAAAGTTTTAGAAATTAGAAAGCTGTGAAGGGTTGTGGAGAATGAAGACTTTTAAGTGTTATGCATATTACTCAGAATGGTCCCTGTGGTCTAGCAAGGAGCCGCTAGGGGGCGCAATCTCACCCCCTCCCTCCCGGGACCCCCACCCCACCCCCCAATATCCCTTAACGTGGGCACTTTCCAAGCCCAGCCTTGCTGGGAATCCGGGAAATTGTCATACTTGGCTTCCTGAGTTACTCTCATGGCAGTTTGAGGCTCTGAGAACACTAATTGGAAGGGGGAAATGAATTCTGCGTTTAAATCAAGAATTTGGAGGGGGAAAATGAACCCTCAGAAGTCCAAGGAACAGGAAGGTAATTAAATGCTGAAGACAAGGGTAGATATAAATGTGTTGGAAAGGGCAAGTCCCCAAATAAGATTAATTGAAAAGTTTGTTTAGGGGAGGAGGTCAGAAATGGGAGATCAACGCTGTAGTTATTTTTATCAAGGAAAAAAAGAATCCCTTTAAACCTTGAACTCTTGATCTTACGGTGATGAATTTGAGCCCCACATTGGGTGGGGATTACTAAAAACCAAGTCATTAAAAAAAAAATCTCTTAAAAAAAAAAAAAAGCTAGGAAAGGAGTGACTGGTGATGGCCGAGATTAAAAGCGCGGCCCAGGACGTGTTTTGCAACCCCGAACACCCAAGGCCCGTCCGGGGCGGCGTGCCCGGCCCCACCCATCGCCGGTGACTCCTGACCTCGAGCTGACTCACTTCTCGGAGAGCGCGCCAGCAATTTCCAACACCAGTTAGGTCTGTGAAACCAGTAAGCCGAGGAAACCACAGACGAGCGAAGGTTCGTTCCCTACGGGAACGCAGAGGAATTTAGAATCGGGGACCCCGAAAATGGTTAAGGAATCCGGGCGCTCGCTGCCTTAGGGGGAAGCGACCGCGCTCCTCCTCCCTGCGCCTGTACAAAGGGGAAAAAACTTGCAGACGGGGAAGGTGTGTATGGAAGTTCAAGCTGGGCCGGCGCCGCTCCACGGTGCGTTCACCGTCGCGGGGGGAGGGTGGGGGGGAGGGGACGGGGGAGGGAACGAGAGCGCAGAAGGCAGAGGCCGAGAGCCCAGCAACTCGCCAATGGGTGGCGGTGCGTCCGGTCAAGGCCTGGGTTGGACCCAGAGCCTCAACATGGCGGCTCCGGAAGTCCACGCCGCCAAGGGCCCTGGGAGTTGTAGTGGCCGGGCACCGGGCGCGTGACGCACTTCCGGCCCCAGGGATCGGGCGTGGCCGTGGCGATGTGGGCGGTGTCGTCCGATTTATCCTGTGGGAGGACGGAGATTTCAGCTTCCCGAACGCGAGCGGAAGAGTGTGCTTGTGGCTGCGGCCTCCGCCAGCGCCGCTTTCCCGGACGCTGCGGTGGTGGAAGGCGGGCCTGGCCGCCGGGCGCCGCTTAACAGTGCGGGTGGCGCGCAGCAGCCGCTGTTCTTCGGGTCTTTCCGTGTTTGTGTGTTTGCTTAAACAACACCGCTGCTGCAGTCACTCCACACTAGTAATTTCCTGGCTGCGCTGCTTTACTTAACGTGACAAGAGCTTTCCTGCGTTGTAATGACAATCACACTAAAACCATCAGGATTTTTTTCTTTAACTGTTTTATTTATTTCTGAGAGAGAGAGTGTGAGCAGGGGAGGGTCGGAGAGAAAGGGAGGCACAGAATCTGAAACAGGCTCCAGGCTCTGAGCTGTCAGCACAGAGCCCGATGCGGGGCTCAAATCCACAAACCGTGAGATCATGACCTGAGCCGAAGTCGGAGGCTTAACCGACTGAGCCACCCAGGCGCCCTAAAAAAAACCAACGTAATTTTCAATGTGTACCTGGGAATCTTTCCGTTTTCTTGAGCGGTGCTTTAGCACTACCTGTGTTTTCCAGTTTTGCTCCGTCCTACACCCCTGCTCAGGAAATGTGTGTTGTGGGAAAAAGACCACCCAAATGAGGACAATGCGGAGGCTGTTTACTCAGCCTACGGTA